ATCACTTTGATTCCCGCTCGCTCTCCAGGTGATTTTAATGGGCACAGAGTGCTCGCACTCACACTGCCACACACAGGGAGTATAAAAGCTGTGACCGTGCACCAGCAGCCACAGCTGTGTGGGGAGGCAAGGCCTGGGGACAGAAGCTGCTTGAGCGTCACCCACAGGGAGATGGTGGGACCTAGAGCAGCAGGGTCACACCACACACGGGGATCAAGAGCAAAACCACTCTGGTTGCGTTTGAGGGCACGAGAGCTTTGTCATCCCAAACTGGAGTGCCAGCAGAGTCAGCATGGGTGAAGGGATCCTAAAGCTGCTCTTTGGCACTGAAGGAGTGAGGGTGAAGTGGCTGGCTTTAAAGGGTTTTTAAATGAATCCGAAGTCTCTCAAAAAAAATAAAGAAGATGAGGGAACTGAGGTTTGCTGCCCCCAACACCCCGGTGGGGAATCTGCTGCTCCTCCCGCTGCCAGGCGCTGAGCAGAGCCCTCAGCCCTCCCCGCTGCGAGGACAAGGCCACCCTCACGCAGCGGCGAGCTGTTTTTTTTGTTTCTCCTCCAGGACAACAACCCCCCATCCACCGCCATGCCCTCCCTCCCCAGGCAGGCAGCTCCCGTTCGGGCTCGGGCCCTTTTCATGCCCAGGCCGAGGCGTTGCAAAACGCAGCGAGGCCCCGGGTGTTTTGCAAGCGCCATGTGACACACACATGACTGGCGGCCGGAGCGGGGCAGGGCGGCCCCCAGGGCCTGCAGCCGAGCCCGGGGGCCCTGCCCCTCACCGCCCACCCCAAAAAGCAGGGCCCAGGGGGGCAGTGCGAGGAGCCCCCCACCCCCCCACACACAGCACGAAGGCACCGGGGGGGGTCCGAGGGCTGCCCCCACCCCCTCAGAGCCCCCTCTCCCCCCCCCCCAGCCCCGCACTCACTACTCGGGGTTCATGCTGGACATGTCCGTGGGGCCCGCGGCCCGAGGGACGGCGTCAGGGCGCTGTGAGGGGAGTGCTGCTGCTGGCGGCCCGGCAGCTGCCGCCGGCCAGGCAGGAGGGCGCTGGGCGGATGCAGGGGGTGCGAGGGCTGCCGCCTGCGCCCGGCTCGGCTCGGCTCGGCCCCGGCCTGCCCCCTCCGCCCGGCCCCGCTGCGCTCCCGCGGCCTCCGCGCTCGCTCCTCAGCCCCAAAATGGCCGCCGCCGCCCGACCAGGAAACGGGGCGGCCGCCCGCCCAGCTGCGCTGACATGGCCGGGGGGGGGCGGCGGGGCATGCCGGGAAAGCGAGTCCAAGCCCCGCCCGCCGCCTCGCGGCCACCCCCTCGCCGGGACTCGCTTTCCCGGCGGCCCCCGCGGCGGCGGCGGCGCATGCGCGCCGGCCGGCCTTTCTTCCCTCGGCCCCGTCGGCTCGGCGCGGCGCTGGGCGCAGGCGATTGGGCGGGGAGGGGCCGGGCGGGGGTGACGTCAGCGGGCAGACGTGGCAGCCCGGGCGAGCCGCCGGGCGGGGGGCAGGGGGCGGGGCTTAAGCGGCGGGGGGCGGGGCCGGGGCCCGGGCTCTGAGGGGAGCGGAGCCCCCCCCCCCCCCCCGCCTGCACGGCGAAATAAATAAATAAAAACCACGAAAAAATAAATAAAACACGAAAAATAAATAAAAAACCACGAGGATCACCTCATGAAATCACCTCACGAAATCACCTCATCAAGTCGCCCCATGAAATCACCTCATGAAAGCAGGTTTTGTGCCCCCCTTAAGTAATAGGGACCGGTCCCTCCCCACACAACAGCCGCTGCGTCGTTTATCTGAGGCAGTTACGAGCATTATTCAGTCACAAAATGTCCTTTGGGTGCATTAAATACTACTCATTTTCCTGCTGGGAAGCAAAGGGATGGGGACCCTGCCATACGCCTGATAGCTCAGCACCAAAGACTCCCTCAGCCTCAAAGAACTCCGAATTTAGGAGCCTATTTGTCTAGTTTTCACTTAAATTCCTGCTAGCCATCAAGCCGTGTCACTGGTATTTTTGGTTGCTGATGCTTTCAGGTGTGTTCCTGACCAAGTCCCTTGCAATCGCCGTCAGAAGGAGCGCGGCACTGAAGCACTGCACGTCATCGCTCCCTGAATCGCACACAGGGGACTGCTAAACCTTGCACGTCTTAACAGCTCCTCCTAATCAGCTCAGGAATTCAAATCCCCACTAAACACATATCATCTGATGTTATTTCATTACAAAGGGCACAGTGTAACATGTTGACCAAAGTTTATCTCCCAGCCGGCTCACAGGATGGGAGGAACAGTCCACGAGAAGACTCCCACATCACCAGCACATCCGAGGCAGGCCAAGGAGTGTGTGTAGTGCTTGTGTCATCTTCACGAGGCGAGCTGAGAAGCCTTACTGCAGCAATCCAGATGTTAATCTGGTCGCAAACTGACTTCCACAAGCTGCGAGGCACCAGCCATGCAAGTACGAGGGGTTACCAAAATAACCGATGTGAGCAGGAGTCTTGCAATTGGGCAGCGACAGAGCTGAATCCCCAGAGGAACTGAAATTGCATACTTATCCTTTTTTTTTTTTTTTTTCCACCACAGTAAGACAGTGAAAAGCCACTCGCGCTCCGCATATCTTTGTGCTTTTAGTGGTTACATTCATTTTCTTAAAAGAAGTCAATGAACTATACCAATTATAAATGAAAATATTAAACATCGGTTAAAAAAATGGGTGTCCTTTGCTTTTTGTGTTGCTCGTTAGGTAATGATCTACATGTAAATCTATCACATAAGTTACTGCTTTTGTGCTGCTTTTGTGGTGGCCACCACTGAAGACTCTTACTTCCCTCTCCCTATTACTTGGTGTATTTGTGCAACCATACCCTTTTTTGTGTGATGCTTGCCATCAGAAATCCAGTGAATTCTTTGAAACTCTCTTTTCTCTCCCATACAGCATGGCTCTTGACATGCTCTGTGTAAGGTGACCCGATGTGTAGGAATATCCCAGATGACAAACTTCATTTAGCAGATAGAACATCACTCTCTGCTGATACAAAAGGCATTTTCGCAGGGACATTTTTAACATTTGTGCCTTGACTTTTTTTTCCAGTGAAACAAAAGCTCCAACCACCCCAACGCCTTATTCTCTCTCTCTCTCTCTTTTTTTTTTTTCTTTTTTTTTCTTTTTTTTTTCTTTTTTTTTTTTTTTCCTGAGGAATAATGCTTATAGGCCACAGTAAATAGGGCTCAGCTATACTTGGCACTGTACAGATCCAGCGAACTCGGAGCAGGCAGAGGAACAAACCAATGCTAGCGCTAGCTAACTATGAAAGCTGCAAATTAAATTTGCTTCTGAAGTAGGGCACAGGTTAATAAGAGTGTGGGATGCTGCTTTCATCGCAGAGAAGTAATAGCTTCCGTGTCTGAGCAGAGCATATTTTATCTGTGCGACTGAAGCAGCGGCATGGCAGGCCCGGTAACCTGCCACTTGCAGGCTGGGTGTCAGCTCTCAGGGGGCAGCACAAAAGGTGGGTCTCTGTCAGCTCTGCAGGGAGGTGCAGGGCTGACCTTCCACTGCCCATGTTGGAGGCTGAGGTCATCTGTTGCTGTCACAGTTCCTGCACTGTACCTGTTTAACCAGACGAACAGGCTCAGGACCCCTGCCTGGTTTCTCGCTGGGATCAGAGCGATAATTTTACTGTCTGTGTATCACGTTGTGTCCTGTTCCTCCTCCTTGCTGAATTGGGTATTCATGGTTTGTCCTGAACGCCACGAACCACTGGACGGCCCGAGATGCCTTGCTTGTCTCTCACTAAAAGGAGCATAATGCAAGCAGCGATTTCAGATGCCAGCTGGGGAAACATTATTCATATACCTCCAGGGCTGCATTCTGCCTGTGCCAATAGCAGCTGATTTTATCCTGTTAGGGAAATCAGCTGCAGAATTTCCTTTGGCTTTGGCTATAGTGCTCTACTGGAGCAGCCTAGGAAAAGCTGTGAGTGCAGATTACCTTGAACTGTAATCGCCTTCCCTGGTTCTGGGCACCCCAGGGCACTATCCTGACCCACTAACTCCTGGTTTTGAGGCTGAACTCTGCTGATCCCTGCTGTTGTCCCTGTTCAGGTGGCAGGATGAGACCTGCCATTTCCCATCTCTCTCCTCCCAAGGCCGCAAAAGATGCCTGAGGAAGCCACTGCCAGAGGATGCTCAGGGAAATGGGGGTAGAAGGGGACAGGGCATGGCTCAGGGGGTGGAAAGGGAGGGAGAGAGCAAGTGGCAATGGCCACAGGCAGGTTTGAGGGGGTAGAGGAACGAGGAAAAACAGCACAAATGATGGAGAAAGAATGCTACAGATGCATAACCCATTTCTGAGCACACGTTTTTTGCTGCAGTATGGAACCCACATAACCACGCCGCTTCAGTACTGTTGGTGGGACCTGTAAGGGTATTGCTCCTACAGACTGCAGCCTGCAGGAAGTGGGGACCTACATAGGAGTCACTCTGCCTTCCTCTTCTGCCCTTATTTCATACAAAATGGTCAATGCTGTGTTTTTTTTTAAAGCTATATAATGATGCCACATGCTCATAAGGCAAGGGATGTTCTCAGGCCTGCTCTCTAGCAGTTTTAAAACAGTTTTTACCCTGAAAATGTTTTTCTCTGCCCTGTGTAACAGTTCTTGAAACATTGGTAAAGGGGAATCATGCCTCTGACTCAGGTATTGCCTCCCCATAAAGCTGTCATGTTAGTACAGTGGCATCCAGATATCATTTGGCCTCTGGCAGTGTCCTTTTCCCTAGACTATGCATAAAATAATAAGAAAAAAAAATTAAAAAGAAACAAAGCAAAACCAAAAAACAAACAAACAAACAACAAAACAAATGATTCGGTTGTTTATTTCCCTACCTGCCTTCCTCTGCTCTTCCTTCTCCCCTGCCTTCTAAACATCTGATCCATGCTGTGGGAAGGTCACAGGCTAACAGATGCACAACAGCCAGACTGAGAAGGTCAGGTACCAGGAATACACAACAGCAAGCTGAGACGTTGCAAATGACTCCTTTAATACCGAGAGTGCTGGGGAACAAACAAACAGTGTTTCTGACTTATCAATAGCAGCGTGTCTCTCTTGTATTGCTCACAATCCTCCCATGTATTTAATCCCTCTGCAGTGCTTTTCAGCTATCGATGTTTGTTTTTTTCTTTTTCTGACAATACAAGCAGCCCATTCCAGACGTGCTGGCAGCACATCTAAAATGGTGTTGGCACATTCTTCTCTTCTTTATTAATTCTTGATTTAGGAAGCAAAGGGCCAGGGAGATGTAAGTTGCTGATGGACCTTTGGGTGCCGCTGTGAGGGACAGAACCGATGAGCCAACACTCAGGTACAGTCTGATGTCAGAAAAAATGAAGTGGAGAGGGAAATGGTATTCTGGAAACAATGAAAAGTGCTGGTCCACTATCACACATTGCTTCTTACAGGAGGCGGGTAACTAGATGGTGTAATAGAACTTCCAGGTCTGAAAATCACCAGGAATCAGCTGATGTCCATCTCTACCTCTTATTTCTGCTTCATACAGCCCGTGCTTTTTCATCCTGCAGCGAGGAGACCAGAGCCTGAGGTTTCACATTGGTTCCAGTCGCAGGCAGAAGCAAGCAGGTACAAGCAGAGTGAAGTGTCATGAGCACTTGGTGGGATGGGAAGAGCATTCTCCTTGAAGAGCAGCCATCTAACTCTGGCCAGGAAAATCTCTGTTGGGAAACTTATGGCAGGAGATCTAGTGCCTTGTTCTGGCTCTTGTCTTCAGGATCCAGGCCCAGTTTTGCTTCAGTGCTGTGGTGAGCACATGAGGGTTCTCGAGGTAACTGTAACTCAAATTCAAAGTAGAAGATTATTCTGAGCAGCAGAATAAGCTGAAAGACTCTTAGCTCTGATACCTTTTCTTGACTTTTTACTTTAGTTTGCAGTGTCGACACAGTTCAGATCGCGATTTCCCAACCTGCTGCAAAACTGACAAGACCACATTCTGTGTTGCATGAGGTGCTACGGAGGAAGCCGGGGGTTTGGTAGTTAGACCTTCTGTTGCACAAGCCTAGTGGAAGCAGTTGAACACTGCAAGCTCAGGGCACTAATTGAATGCATCTGCTAAAATCAGAGAAAAAAGTAACGTTGGAAGAGACACCAAGGTACAATCTCGTTGTTTCCTCTGCTTCAGCTGTATCTATTTAAATCCCAATAGCAATATTCTTAAAGCCTTCCAGAAGTGGCAATTCCCTGGTTCCCGTAAGCCATTTATGACAGCACCCACAAGAAACCTAAAAAAGCTCAGTGAAAAAATGATTCCAAGGATAAATTAAGCAGCTCAGGCTTTCAGTTAAAGTTGCTGGTGAGTTCAGAACATTTTACTTCCTCGGTTATATCCTGGGTATCTTTTTAATTATAATCTTCAGTGCCACCAGAGATAAACAGGAGAGAGCTCAAGCTAGCTCAAGCTATTTCCTTCCAGTAAATGAACCCTTTCTTACTGATGCAGACTTTGGTTGACTGCCACATAAACACTGGGACAGAGTACTGCTAGAAAGCACACTTGAAAAGGGCCCAGAAATATCAGGAAGTAAGAACCCACTGGTTTGCTTAAGTGGGGATCAGAGTACTCCTCGCAGATACTGCCAAGGGCTATCTCCTACCTCTGAGTCATGCATTTTGCAACCCAGCGGAGATAGCAGGGTAGTGCACCCTGGAATTTGGTCTCTCTGCTCTTGTACCTAGGTAGTTGTTTGCTTAAGAGTTAGATTCATCACACCAGTTATCATCTAAATGCTCTGGCATGTATTCATCCAGCTGGGCTGGCATCTCTCTGCTGGGCACAGATGTTTTTTAAAACCCTCATTGACTTAAAACCGAAGGTTGTTTTGTTGTGTTTTGATGCCAGGGTTCTGGAGGAGAGGGTTCTGGAGAGTCCTTTTAGGCTAAAAAGGTGGCATTTTCTTATATATGCATTTGGCACCCAGAAGTGGGCAAAAGGATACAGTTTGAATGAACAGTGACAAGTCACATCATGGGCTGTACTTTCTTTCATCTTCTACTGCCTCACCCCTTTTCTTCAATACCAGCCTTTAATGCCATTATTTTCCCCTCTGACCTCTTCATGTTTTAAAGATTTCCTATTGCTGGTGTTCTTTCTTTTTTCTTACCCCTTCACATTTTGTTCTCTCACCCCAAGCGAGCTCCATTTACCTTGGTTTGGGGCTTTTGTTAGTGACCTTGTGAAGCTGCTTACATGTGCATGCACAGCTTAGCTGTGTGCTGGGAGAAAGAGTCTCAGACCTCTACAATGACATTTGGGTCTGCAGTTGCATAGTTGATTGTCTCCTGCAATCATCTGTTTTCACAGAGGCTTCAAATGCAGGGAGAAAGGAGGAGCCACCTCCCACGCTACCCAGGGACGAATGCGTATCGTCGTGAGGAAAGGACAAGCAACTTCTGCCAAGTCCCACAGGCACTCTCCTCTCCCCACAGTATTAATCCTCCTGTACAGAATTAATTTGCACCCCTGCCATGTCAATGGTTGGACATACAGTTTGAGAAATACTGTGACAGTTCAAAGGTACAGCAATAACTAGACCCCCCCAAACACAGCACGTGCTGATCTTGTTGGTGCCTGGGCCCCCACAGACCTCTAAACACAAAAATCTGTCTTACAACTCTGTGTTTTTCTTGTTCATACTTCCTTTTAAGTTTCCTGCTCTATTTCATGCCTAAAAATGGCAATAGGGAAGAGAGAACTGGAGGCAAAGAATCAGTGAACAGGGGCATTTAGTCTACCCAAAGCTCTAAATGAGACCTCTGTTTAATGCTGAACCTTCCTGTAAACAGGTGCATTTCACCTCAAGAGTTTTGCTTTGTTATGTATTATGGGATTTGGAGAGACTTTGAAAATAAGCTTACATAACTGGTTTATCCTATCAGTAATGTTGATAACTGCATACCTTCCTTGGCTGGCAGACTAAACTTCGAGTAGTCATACCCCGAATTAAACTAACAATCAACAGAAAACCAGATGGGATTCATCTTTTGTTGTTGTTATTCAGCATGAGTCCTTAAATGCAACAAAAACCCGAGAGAGAAAGCTCAGGCTTTGTGTCTGTTAACAGTCAAATGCCTTCATCTTCATCCTGAAGCAGCGCAGACAATGCTAATCGAGGCTAGCTTACAGATTTGTAATTGCTAACCTTTATACCAAATCTTTCAGATGTCAGTTCAGGATTAGGTAGCATCCTTATTATTTTAGCTAGAATCCAAAAATTCTTTTCATCTGTATCATTCAAGGGTACCCTACTAGAGTCCTGTGAGGAGGATGGCATGGATCAGTTTAATAAAGTCTTTGAAGAAGCAAAGAGCTGTCTGAACTGTAAGATATTCGTTTTTGGAAACAGTTTTTGAAAAAAAAAATTAATAATAGAGGCTTAATTCTGCTTAAGACATTAATGACTGAATTGAAGCAGTAAAGCTCAGCACAGTAGTAAGGCCAAGATGGGAAGCAAGCACTCACCAGATTCTTTAGTCCACAAAAGGTAGTGAACCTAGATTCTGCTTTATTGAAATAAGTACACCCTCACCTGTAATGCATTCTATTTTACACAACTGATCACTTGCAAATTGTGAATAGTCATTTGATTTTCAAATACAGTACCTGTAAGTGAAAATTAATATAGACATGAACCCTTTATCTGGATAGTACATAGGCAAAATTAGGAAATTACACTCAGAGTTCAGCTAAGTGTGCCAAATTTTCCACTGCAGTTCAATGTTTTAATGATTGGGTGGATTCTTTTATCCTTCTCTCACTTTCTCTGTCATGCCCTCTTCTTCTTCCCTCTTGCCTTCCTTCCTTCTTTCTTTCTTTGATTGAACTGTATCTATACTGACCCGGCACACCTATCCATACTATTTAGACACACAAACTAAATAAAGCATTAAATTCAATAGAGGTGTTTCATTTTCAAGCTAAGAGACAGCAACATTTAATTACTAGCGGGCTAATTCTGCAATTGGTATTCACTGGCACCACTCAGCATGATGGAAGGGTGCTTTGTTGGACTCAGAATGACATTGTGCAATGTCTGACAAACTTTAAAAAACAAACTGTGAAAGCAAAGGCTTTGAGATACAAGATACGTTACCAAAATGAAAATATAATTCAGTACTAAAATGTCCACAGTGGAAATTAATTATACTTTTTTTTTTTTTCTTATAAGGCACATAATGCTAAACACAAATGCTAAATTACAAATTCTATATTTAGGTGCTTAAATAATAAGACTGATTTCCAGGTATACCAAAAAGTTTGCCCCAGATCTCAAAAGACTGTTTACCACTGTGGGTGAGGGATGACCAATCCATCCTGGAAATCACCTCTGGATTTTCTCGTAAGATGTATGCTTTTATGGCTGGTAGTGTTGTTGCACTAATTCATCAATGCAGACCTTTTCCTGAGATCAACAACAAGTATGATGAAGCAGCTTTGGTTTCTCCCTAAAAGCAAACAAAAGGAGACGGAACTATAAATTCACTGCTAAGGTATTTAAACAAACAAACAAACAACTATTTACATTCCACTGGCTACTGTGCTGAAAAAAATAATATGAAAGAATGTTATTCAAGATCAGGTACTGAAATTATTTCTTCCTTTTAGCTTAAGAAAGAAGAAAAAAAGAACATTTAAAGATGAAGTAGTTCACAGTTAAACACAATCCCTACACACTGCATGTATTGCCTATGTTCATTAGCTAATGAGATTCTTTTTGTACTGTAGAAAAAAAAGGTCACATTTTGAATACATGACATTATTCAGATTCGGCTGCTATCTAACACAATTCTGTCCCATGTAATATTCATTGCATGGCTGGGGTTTTATGCCCAAATACAAAATCTGCTAAAATACATGGCTCAGAAGATGTAGCAAAATCATACCTAAATCAAGAGCATCACCAAGTGGGGTGGGTCAGAAAGCCACACGGGCTTATTATCTGAGATAGCAGCTGAAGAATAAAAAATCAGGACAACTACACTTGCTTCCCTGCTTGGTATCCACTGGAGATCCTCACGGAAGAGATACAGCACACGAGGGAACAAGGGTAATAGCTTCCGCTGAGATGATTTTCAGCTGCTTTTAGTTCTAGTAGCATGGTTCAGAAAGAGCAGGAGACTACTGCAGTTTCCAGCATGTAATTACCATTACCAGAGACCCCAGCCTCCATTCAAAGCATTCCACCCGATCTTTTCTAGAGTGTGCCCGTGCACTAAAGCAACACACATCAAATTGAATGACCCCAACTCAGAGCAGGCATTCTGGGAGGCACCAACTTCTACAAAACTACAAGGCCATCATTCTCCCCCAGCTCCTGCTTTGAGTAGCCATTCAAAATCGTGCAAAATGAGGTTCCATCCTATTTTAGTGGTTACATATTATGCTTCACATCATAAACGTAAAAGATTGTTGAGGAGGATGCAGCCTATCTAAAACTAAGAGACCAAGTGAGAACTCCACAGTGGCATTAGGTGATATTGCAATATACGTCGCAATCAGGGAAGCAGATAAAGCTAGACCTTTGTAACTACTTTCTGTTCATGGATACAACAAAACTTGTTAAGAGATCCTGTTTATAAAAAAAAAAAAAAAAAAAAAAAAAAAAGGGAAGTGATGCATCTTCATTTTCTTTTGGTGGGCAGTCACTGTACACGATAAAAAGAGCTACATGAAGTGAACTGCAGAGAAGACATTTAGTCCAGCTATGGCTTTTTCAGTCCAGATAAACGCATTAAACCGAGACAGAAGTGACTCATTCTTCTCAATAACGTTGCTTCAAAGCAATTGACAGCAGAGAACCGAAATATTGGCCTACAATAGCAAGACAGAAGAGAGGGATCCAAGAAAGTTCCAACTTTATTTATTTATTTTTAAAGTTCATTGCAGTCATGCCAAACATATTTCTTTCCCTACTCACTGGAGTCTATCTTGAATGGACAGCCTGGCAGGCGTCCATGAGAGACAGACCCTGCAAGAAGTGTAGTGGGACACATGTTTGTAGTTTGTCTAATGAGAAATCCCTATTAAATGCTTAAGTCAAGGTTGATCTTAATTTGCACCACTTGCTTAATAACTGAGACCGATAAAAGGGAATGACAGGATAAAAAATATGCACTTTGCCCTGCACTGTATCTAGACGTATGAAAGTCACCCCGTACTTTAGACTCCTTCCCACAGTGGAGCCAACAGCAAAGTGCTGAAGGCAGAACTGGGCTGTAGGGAACGATCCTCTGTTTTTATGACACGATTCCTCCTGCTCTTTCCATGCATTTTAGCAAGGTTACACACATATACAGCCTGCTTGGCAACAGTGCTATTAATGTTCCATTTACATTTTTAATTAGTTTGCTTTACAAGTGTAATTTTTTATGTTAACATTAAAAAAATAAAAGTGCTATTGATATGGAAATGGAGACTGAACCACTATCGTGACTGCTGAAGTTTCATGTTCAGTAAAAGAGGAACTACTGCCACAACCTGCTTGTGTCTGACATAATCATAACCAGCTAGATAAAGATGTTCCCTTTCATTACAGCAGCATGTTTGGACACTTTCATGCTTACAGAAATGTCAGTTTAGCAGGAATTTGCTATCTAAAGCAAGGAAAAGTAGTTGCATATGAAAACTAGCAAATATGATGGCCCAGTTTCACTTTTGCTTCATACTTGTAACACCACAACTGTGAAGCTGCAATCTGAAAAGGCTCTGTTTTTATTCTGTACAGAAGTCTCAGTAGACAAGCTTGCAAAATAGGTCTCCCCAGAATATATTCTGATTATGAAAGGAAAGGAAAATCATATATATATATACATATAATATATATATATGGGCTATTCCTTGAACCAGACCTGCACAAATATGCCACCTGAGAGGAATCAACTCATTCTAACCAGCAATTTAAATAACTGAGATTAAAAAAGCTTGACTATTCAACTCTGACACAAGTCTTTCCATTATATCATAGGAAGAGGTGCCAAATTATAAGGAGACACTTGAGGCTGGACTTCTTGAGTGTGTGAAAATAAGAATGTGGAGGGGTGTAAGGACTGGTAGGGAATCTCCAAATTTTACAGGGTTGTCAGAATATTTTGGAGGATTGCAGTCTGCTTCCCTTGTGAGTCCTGAAAAAGTTGGTCTGAAATTTCCACGTTCCTTCCACAGGCCAGCAAAGCAGAAAGCAAGTTTTACTCCTTTCAAAAAGTATTGAAGCTCTGCGGCATGTGCAGAAGTAGTGTGACTTACCATTTCCTGGCAGAAAGATCTCGTCCTGAATAGACCTCAGCTTGTGCAGTTCAGGTTGGAGATAAATGACCTTCTGCATGTGAAGAGGCACTTCTGTATCAGTCTGCATCAGTGACTGGGGGACAGAGAAGAAAGGAACTTTCAGTGGTTTAATGTAAACTAATACGTGTAAAAAACAACAACAAGAAAAAAAAAAAAAAAGAACAAAACTTTGTTTTATCAAGAATGCTGTTCTACAAGATAGCAATGGATTGATAATTACTTGATGTAAAGAGAAACTTTTGATTTACATTATACTGGCAATTTATGCTGTTTTCAAGAAATAATTTTAAAAATGCATCCTTTTACCGATTTTTATACATAATATTATCATATTCTGGCAGAACAAAGTACATCTGCTGAGAAACTAGCTCACAGAGTGTGATGTCTAGTATCTCTGCCAATATTAGCTTTATGGACCAAGTAATAATATTATGTTAATAACTGCTGATTGCTATTTGTGTACCAGACTGTTCCAATACCATGGTGATGGGCATGCTGTTAGTGTCTGGAACAGATGGACAGACCACGAGAGATATTTGCCTTGATTTTAAGACAAATAGGATTACCTGTTTCATTAACAAGGCTACAAGAAAACGTGGACAAAAACACATGATCCTATCACCATCTCTAATAGCCAACAGGAAGAAAAAGACCATGCATCTGTAAAGACACACATTGTAGGCACCAATTTGCCCTCACTTTCGGAGAGAGCAAATCTCTGAAGCTCTTGCAAAGCCAATGCAGCTGTTTTATGCTGTTAAGAGTGAAAACAAAATTCACCATCTCCTTTCACTCCCTGCTCAGCAGCACCGTTACACTTCTCTCTCCGTTACACTTCTCTCTCTGCAATGGTGATGCTTCAGGCTGGACACGAGGCAATGTGTGCTGTGATTCCTTACCCACCGATATTAAGGACATCTCATAAAGAAGTTGCGACAGCTTCCATCCTCTCTGGAGAAGAGAATTAGAAGAACAAACGTGCCTTTATCTCGTCTTTTTGATATGGACAAAAAATAAGGAGAAAAGCACACTTTGATCCTGCTGTGTTGTTTCTTAAGCCCTACCACACGGAGGTCTAGATAGCAACTTTATTCTGCACTCTCTTCTCCCACAGAAATGGGAAAGAAAGGCCATGAGATAAAATAAAAGGCAAATATTTTTGCTGCAGGTTGTGCATCTCTGTTTAGAATTAAGGCTGGGATACTGGGAAAAAAATAATCTCATGGCAATATAATATTATAGAACACAAGATACGATGCCATACACTATTGACAAACTGTTTTTGAGTGACTGAAAAAGCCGTTATGTGGGGAAGAGAGCTCTGACTCGGAGCACTGGGGACATAACAATAACAACTCCCTTCCTATCTCAGTGAAAAGCCAAAAGAAGAAACTGGAATCCACTGCTTTCATATTAGAGCTGCCAATTTCCCACTGGTATCAGAAGCCAGTCATGTTTGGAAAGGAAATGACCTCTCGCTGCATTGCAAAACTAGCAGGTGCAGATGGCATGTGAACAACTTTCCCAATCGCTGATCCGCCAAGGTCACAAAACAGAAAGTACAAATGGTTTTAAGGACAATCATTCGGTTCCTGCCAGGTCCTTTACGGATTCTGGAAGCACCGTATTCCATTTGGCATGCAAAAAGATTGCAAAATAAGGCCACCAACATAGATGAGGTGTCAGATCACTGCGACGATATGTTTCCCCCTCCCAAGACACACAAACAAATCCCTACAAATTACATATGTCACCAAACACCAGCATGCGCTGAAGCACCCCAATCATTCAAATGAACAGTGGCGATGCCTAGTCTTTAAATTTAATCATCTGTTGACACAGCCAGAAATTTTGCTGAGAAGTGCCTGCTTGTCCTGCAGCACTGTCTGGCCTGCAGACAACTTCCCAGTGTCAGACTGCAGCAAAGAGCTGGGAGAGGAGCTGCTCGGTGCTACTGCCAATGCTACAGAGGCAAGCACTTGCTGTCTCACCGTGTGGCAGTGTAAAGCGTGTCTGAGGATGAAACCAGCAACAATCATGCCAAGTGCCGAAGGATTTACCAGGGAACGAGATTTAGGATGCAGCTTCTGCTGAACGTGCCAAGCAAGGTCAGCATGGGTGAGGGCTAGGGGTGTTTACCGTAGTGCATGGACATGGAGGATCAAATCCGCAGAACTAAAATGAGAAAACTTTCTGCCACACTTTCACTTTCCTTTGCTTTTTCACTGGCAAGTAACGCCCATCGACATCTGTCCAAGGCATCATATCGTACTGCTACAACCAGAGGCTTTGAGTAGGTCCCCACTCACATCTGAAATACGCAGCTTGAGAAAATAACAGGAAATAGCAGAGCAAAGGCAGTTTCCAAGAACCATAGAGACAAATCAGCACTTCGTTCTTAGTGGGTAGATTAAAAAAAACAAAAACCAAATAACTTCTCTTCCTCTCTGTGAAGTAGGGTGAAATATAGAAGAATTAAATCTGTTTCTGCAGAGCTTTGCATTTGCAAATACTGATTGTATTGTCATTTGTTCCCAGTACCAAAAAACAGGTCAGATAGGCTAGTTAGAGTAGAATTCATTTAAAAGCTAAGCAACGATAGCTGCACGTACAAGACAAGTATCCCTTCCTCCTTCTAAGGGACAAGTTCCTCTATCCCGATATGGGTGTCTAAGATAAATGGAACAAATCATTTTCTCGAATGCCTGCTGCTCCTTATTGACTATTGACCATTTGCTGAGAGAAAATGCCTGAAATTTAGGGTGTGATTCATTTTATTTTGTCAATTACTTCTGAGCTGTCTTCAAAAGGAAAAGAAAAGCTGTGTACAACACCATCATGGGACTCCATCTTTATTGTCTCAGTAATTCAGTCTTCTTATTTTCACCAGAGAAAAGCAGACATACCTTGCATTGGCACTAAATTTTTAACCTGGGTTCTAGAAAGTAAGCGACATGCTTTTTGATAGCTTTTTCAATATCCCCGTGTTTTGCAGAGGTACTGCTAAATGACTGCCACAAACTGGCCTGGAATGATGAGGCCATATTTCAGGGCATGAGACCAGGGAGTAAAAATCCCAACATGCAAGGCTTTGACAGCTTCAAGGAGAAAAAAAAAGCATGGGGAGAAGGAAAGAAAAATAAATGGAATGAAAAATTGTCCTGTTCACAAGCTATAGCTTTCAGATTTTCTTAGATATTCACCAATGAAATCAGTGAAATGCTCTTGAACAATACTTATTTTTTAAGCTGGCAATATTCTTTAGTATTTTTGAAAGATGCATCATTTTTTCCTACATCAATTCGAATATATTTTGAATACAGGGTAATTACTTAAATCTTTTGTGTGTTCTTTCTCCTTCACACAGTGTATAAAGTGTTACTACAAACAGAAGGAGGGCATTTAACCCTCGTAACATCTCACGGAGGTCTCAAACTATATTTTCTTTTCTTCCCAAACTCGTTTTTACATATAAGGAGTTCTGGTCCTCACTAAAAGAATACTAAAATTATAAGCTAGTGGAATTAAAACATCGTAACATGACAGTTGAGTTTTTGAATAATGAATAATGCCTTATATCTTTTGCATTAAAAAATATGAACCCTCATTAATTAATTAATACTTGGGAATAAGGATTATTATTAGTTTATTTTTTTAAGATTCAGTAATTCTTACCTTTTTCAGCTCCTGGTGTAGCAGCTAGCCATAGGTATCAGATGAATATTTTTGTATTGGAGCAGCAGAAGTAGAGGCCAAGACTTCCTCCTCTCACTTAAGAAATAACCTGCCAGGCCTTTTTCATACACTGCAAAGGAATGAAAGAGAACAGCTTTCTTTCTTCTAAGCACCTCTCGGGTCAAATTTAAGGATTTGCTATTGAAAATTTTAACTAAAAGGAGTTCTTTGGAAGACAACTCTTTTTTTACTGTACATACCCAACAAACTCACAGATGACATCCAAGGTTCAGTTCCATTCTTTTGACAAACCTAACACTCAATGCAGGAAAATGGTCTAATGAGCCTAAAAAAAAAAAAAACCAACACTGCTACCTTTTTTATACCAGGGGTTAATTCAGATGCAAGCTTATGCAAGCACAGATCTGACCAGTCAAGGTACTGCACATTTACAACCACCCCTGCACTGCTTGACAGCAGTCAGCTGAGCACACCAGTCATGCCATCTGTGTCAGGATGTTGTAAAGGAGTCATCTGGGGGGTTTTGCAATGCCCTGAGTTCCTTAACGAGGGGAATCCCAATCTATCTGCATCAGCATTGTTCAATATTATGAACTGCAACTGTAGATAGAAGGGCTCGTGCCTTGCAAGCTGACTGCTTATCGGGGTTGAAGAAGGAATGATTGGAAGGCAGGAACTGAATACAGAAATCTACTATTTCACAGAGTAACGTAAGAAATTATATAAAAGCAGGCAATAGAAATAAACTTCCTCAGATTTAAAACAAATTAATCCTTGGATAAGAGCTGTGTCATCAGACCACTCCAGCAAACGTGTACTAAGGTCTAGGTCTATGTTTGTTGTAGAGGCACTACCGCTTTCTGGAAGCTTAAAATTGTAGCTTAACTGCAATGGCCATTCCATTTCCAGCCCTAGTAGCTGGGAGGATCTTACAGTTTCATAGACGCAAAGAAGTCTTTTTATTGCCAATATCTACAGAGAGTCTCCTGTTCTAGTTACATCAACAGATGTTTGGTGGGAAAACTTGTACTTGGAGAAGCATCTAGATAGAGCAGTTTGCTTTGTGCAAAGCACGTGTATCTGTTACATACAGTGATGTAATCTACACAAAGTCTACATTTTATTTTACTAATTCCGATACAAGGTATATGTTACTGTATACAGTAATTTTTTAACTGTTTTTGAAAATATGAACTAGACTATCCAACCCCATAGCAGGAGCTAAATGGGTTTTTCAGAGACAGAGCTGTTTTGTACAGCTCTTCTGACAGTCTCTCCTTTCTTGTTCCATTGAAGCATTTCTTTTTTTAACCTAAGACAAAAGAATAGCCTACCTCTGCCACAGTATTTCAGCTACAGGGTCTGAAATAGTCAAAGGAGGGTTATTTTTCAAGTTAACAAAAACATTAGCAAAACAATGGAGTTTTGACCTACTGGAATGAAGAATTGATAAAGATGCTGATAAGAATTAGAGAAAATTGCTCCAGTTCACAAAATGTGCCTATTAAAATTGATCTAGATGCATGCTTAGGTAGATTGTTTTATGCACCTGTTACTGGATTTTGTTTTCCCATACATACCTGCAACTCTCTCACAGAAAAGGAAATATATATTGGAATGACAACAGGTTAAGCAGAATAAATCACATCAGTAATGCCAGCCTAACAAAAATTTAATCTATACATAGATTTAGAGCAAATCTGGAATTTGAACTATGCATATTTTCACCTAGTAATGATCAAGTTTAAAACAAAACAACAAAAAAGAAAAAAACTCCAACAAACCCACCACAAGAGTACAATGCTATAAACTTGTACGCCAGCTCCCTGTGAAACAACTTCAAGGGCCACGAAGTGAAAACAGGCTTCAGTGCTGCTTCCTTGTCTATGCTCTGTCTGTATGAGGTGACCTTGCCAGTGCTGGAAACTGCCATATCTAGGGAAGTGCCTTCCGTAACTGTTCCGATTTCCTAAGGAAAAAAGGCTTACGTCATCATTTTGTGCGAGCGCCTATTCTGCTGTCTTCACTTCCTCTTCAAATAGCTTTTGAATCCAGTGCCTGCTTTTCAAATAAATTTGAAAGTGTAACACAGACTTCAAGATAGAAATTTGTTGCAAGTTTAGCAGAATTAAGCAACCAGCTAGGAAGAAGAGATCCAAATTCACCTCCAGCCATGAGAAAGGATGCAGCGAAAGCCCCATTCTTATCAGACACAAGACAATCCAGCCAGGACAGACACAGAGAGCATCCAGGCCAGGGGAAAACCATGGATCAAAACTTGCATCTGGCTAAATATAACAGAATATGGTATGGGACACGAATCTATGGGAAATCAGGCTTCACTGATTCCATTGCTCATGGAAGTACTTGCTCATTTCACTTAAACTTTCCTATCACACAGAGAGTTAGGGTTCCCTAAATACCTGCTTGTGCCATTCACAGTCCAAGATTATCCCTTATATTCCAGCTACCCCTTCCTCTTCAAATCTCTGGTGTATATTTAGTGAGGACTTCTTTCCATACTCAGAGTAGATCTCCTTAGTGCCCCAAACCATTGTGTAGTTTAAATGCACCTCTTCCATCCACCTATGATTTTACTCAGTGTATGAAACCATTTACTCAAGTGGCCTTATTTAAAATGTGATCCTGCCTACTGACATTGGTTTATATACATGTATGAGTCAGTCTTTTTCTCTCTGTTCACTGAGTCCTTAGTAGTCTAAAACATTATTTTTTTTAAAAAGGAAACCGTATTTCTCTTGCACCACAGACATTATAAGGTTCACGCTCATTTCACTTTTTCATAGAGCAAAATTTTGGTACACTCTCCAGCCCCAGAAACATGACTGTGAAGGAGTAAAAATTTAAAAGTTTAGTTTAAAGACATACCCAGAACAGCTGCTCTGGGAGAGCTTGAATAATTTTTCAGTTGGCACGTAAGAAATGAGCTCACACTACAAACTTTCTTTCTCTTGAAGTTAGTAGCAGGATCTCTTCCCCCCTCCCAGCTACCTGTTTTCATAAAATTTATCAATTTCATGTGCTGCAAGACTGGAGCCCTCTGTCTTTCATACCTACGTGAAATGGCCAAGGGGGTTCCATGTTATTAGTGCTGAGCGTTGGGATAGGCAGAGTATGATCACATAATCCTTATTTCTTTAGGGAATAAATCAACGAATCACCCCCCTCACTTTTGCACTAGAAAAACAGCTATTAACTCACTGATCTATCTCCTACAGATGAAGGAGGCTGAAGAAGCAAAACAAGCAAATGATGTTAAGCGAGGAATAAATTACTCTTTGGTAGTCAGATGGAAGAAAAGCCTCTGAGGAAATGTAATCACCACACCCTGCTAGTTATTAAAAGGCTGTGTGGAAGCCATGGCTAGGCGACTGCTTATGCAAACTCACCAAAATGTTTGTTTAATGAAAAGATTACACAAAAGGTTTCACGACAATGTCTGCTATGTCTAACAGGACTGCAGTATCACAGAAAACCCAGTCTTGCATTTACATCCGTCCAGGTAGACTACTGTCTCTGCGGGGAACAGGCAGATTTGTGCATGCACAGCCTAACTGAAGGATTCCGGCTACAGGGGAAATAAAATAAAAAATATATATATTAAAAAATTAATAAAAAGACTTTTTGTCTATAGGCTGTGACAAAAAACAAGCTTAGGAAATGAGTTCTGTAGTTCTGTCATGGATCAAGGCTTACACAAACGTATGCCTTCTATGCAGAACAGTTGCAACTGATCCTATCTGAAGGATTTTGAGGGTAATTTCTGCTACATGTAAACATTTGAAGGAAGACTTTTCATGTGCATCGGAATGAATAAAACTATAAATGGATATTTTGTCAAAAATACATATTTTTAAAGTGTGGGACTCTGGGGAAAAAAAAAATCAATCAAGAGATGCACAATTTTTACAGTAAAATTTATGAGTTAAAAATCCTACTGTTAATACCCAGTGGGAAAAAGCAATGTTGCAGAACTCTCCTGGCTACGTTTTGATCATCCCAGTGAGTGGGCCCCTTCAAGATTATTCAAAGATTAAAAATGGGATGTTGCATGTAGCTACCGTGATTCACTTGATCTTTTTCTGTCTTTTTCCAGCTAAGCTTTTTCATTCACAGGGAAAAAACAATGATGTCATCCAGATCCCCACTCTGCTGAGACAGGGTAATTGCAAGGTTTTGCACTGTCTTGTGGATTAGGAAAATTCAGCCAGTGACATTTTTTAATAAGAGTAGGTTCATTTGCCATTACTTTGTGGTCGTTCATGAGAGAGACAGAAGCGTCTTACTATCTGCTTCTGGCCACCAAGGAGCAATGGAGAAACACCCAACCTTCCTACAGGAGCACCAGCATTAGATACACCTATTTTGAAATAAAATGAGATAGTGTTTTATGTTGCAACATGATTTTCCTAGTAAGAAGAAACAAACCCAGAGGAAAATGGGATAGGTTCAATTCTGCTTCTCTGTGTTACAGTCTTTCCCTCTGCAGATATTGATACAAATATAAAAAAATCTGAGAAAACTCCAACAATTACAGCCATATAATAACTTAGCTACATTTGCAATTACCAGACACAAAGCACAACGCTAGTTGTTGCTGTCTTCAATATCTAAGCAGCTCGTCATTGCAACGTTTAAGTAAAAGGACCCAGATCCCGATTTATTTGTGCCTACCTCCTTATTACAGTTCAGATCTGAGCTTCACTCAGCAGAGACAGCAGTGAGTTGCTGCTCAAGGCTGCCACCTCCTGTCTTAAATCCCTAGTCACTCACTGGCATATTAGTAACCTGATCAAGGAGCTTCTACAACTCCTTTGTCTGTAAGGCTAATTCTACAAAGAAAGGATGTTTCTTCAAAACCAATCAGTCACAAAGATTTACATGAGCTACAGGACGTAGAGCAGCTGTGCAATATGTTGGCAATATAACTTACCAACCGTCACGCTTCCACGGACATCCATAGCTATTAGATCTAATGAAAATCAAAAAAAAAAAAAAAAAGAGATGATTTCCTCCTCAGGCAGCACCACGCTGTGTTTCACTATGCTGTGTTTCAAAAGATGGACCTCTCCATTTTAAGATACACGTTCACCAACTGGCAGATAAAAATGAATTACCGACATCTGAAGCATGTTACAGTGCTTGCAAACTGCTGATTAAAGGAAGAAAGATTAAAGACAGAAAGGTTGCATTTTTTTCCCAATGATTAATCCTAACCTTACATTCAAGTGGCATGAAAACCCCTGAAATTAAGAAATTAGAGGACAGACTTGTGCTTTGCACACTTCAGACGTCTGATGGTTCTTTGCTTCTGATCAATTAGGCTAAAAACTCACAGCCTTTTATTCACATCTGAGACTTTCTTTCCATAAGCCTGGCTACTGGAATCAAAGGAAATGTGCCTGACTCTGTTAGTTTCTAGTCTGAAACCTTGATATTCTCCTTGTAAGGAAGCAGAACAATTTTCAGACAAAAGTTTTGGCTACACTCATTTTTCACCTGAAATTTACAAAAAAATAAATGCCTTTATTTCCTTTCCTTTCCCATCTGTTTTGCCTTATTTCATTTGAAATGTAGGGCAAATAATCTCTGCAAAATTGCTCATTGAAAGTTTCAGATATTTTTCAGCGTATGAACCGAAGAAAGCTTTTCCTTATTTTAAGCTAATGGAACATCCACTTACTTTAGCTATTTCCTCATTTTCTTCTCAATCTTAGTAAGTTTTAGCTTTCATCCAACCAAGGTAGCTTCCAGAGGCCTGCAGTGAGGAATTTCAAGGGTATCACTCACTAGTTCCCACCTCACCACTGAATAAATTAGTTCTCTTGTGCCATGGCAGTAAGCAGAAAATAAACAAGCAAAAGCCAAAAATCAATCAATCAAACAAACATTATGTTTGAAACAGGTCTTGGGTTGCTTACATATAATAAAGTTCTTACCACTAAATGGAGTTTGGTAAAAAAGTGAGTCTGCTGAGCATCTGCGCTGCATATAAACCAATCAACTTTGCAAGAGTCCAGCATTTCTGAGAAATCCATCCTAATTTTTAAAATCAGTTTGGTCTTTCTTAAAAACAAAAGGGTTTTACTAAATCTTTCAAAAACAAGTGAAAAGTGCAATTCAAGCCACGTAGCAATATCGCATGGCAATTCTTATGCCTTCTGGAAAAGCTACTTAATGAAGGAGATTGCATTTCATTATAAAATGTCTCTCTTTTGGTCAAACCTGCCTGGTCTTCAAAGCACTGCGTAAAGCTCTCCAAGGACAGAACAAGCACTGTGAGGAAGGGGAGCTTGAAAGACCCTGCAGCACAGTAGCACAGCAGGCTTTCCTGCATCCCACGGACCAGGAAGCCAGCATCCAGATGTTTCCATCTCCTAACCTCTTGTATGCTGCTTCCAAGTGAGGCAGGAGTCAGGATTTAATCTCTCCGATATTCTCACACGGGGCCTATTTACCAAGCACCTGGCAGTCTGCCCTCACATCCTACTCCCATGGTATAGTCAGCTCTGAAATTTCTGGTCATACCTCATCTTGCTTCAGTCACTGCAAATCGCCAATTTCTGATTCACAGTATGCAAGGAATGTCTTTATTTATTTATTTATTTATTTATATTTTTTCCCCTGAAATTAATTGAAATAACAGATTAATTTAACACACTTCCATGCTACCTTTCCTTTCCCTTGCCATCACCCTCATGTGGGGTTAGACGCACACATACGTCCTAAAATCCACGCTGGTTCTTGAATTGCTGATACCTGTGGAACAGTGCAGGATGTCATCTCTACAAAAAAAAAACTATACATGAGCTGTTGAGTACATCATAATCATTACAGATCAGTCTAGCATCTACAGATCAAACCCAGCAATGGATTTGAAGACAACAACTTCCGATTGCAAAATTAATATCCTTATTTTCACATATATTTGTGCACAAATGGAGGCTACCAGTGACTTCATTTTGTTCCTGCAGTCGTTAGTGCAAGCAAATGCAGTCTAATTAAATAAACCCCATGAAGTACTGCTACCTCAGGTGTCATGTTCTCTGACTTTTTTTTTTCTTTTCTAAGTCTTGCTTTTAAGAAGAATATAATAGGTGCTACTCTTAAAAACCAACAGCATGTGGCAA